GCAATTTTCTGCCAAAACGGCTACTCTCACTCCTCTTTTTATCTACTCCCTACCCTTTTGTCCCACTTTCGCCTTATCACAGCTTCTGACTTGTGAGATAAGAGAGTAAGGAGTAGATAGATGGGCCAGGACAGAAAGAGGAGTGATAGTATAATCGTTTAGGTTGCGGAATTGACTTTACTTGTCTCTGACGAGTTTGCAGCTTGGTGCGGAGAATGGCAGCACTCAATGATGATGCCGACTACGATGCCGGAGAAACATCTGAGAATGTACCAAGTTCACGATCGGATGCAGGGAATTAGGACAACTACTATGACAGAGGACAACAAGACCAAGTTGTGGCAACGAGGTCAACCCATTTTTATTTATAATTTCTTGTTTATTTAATAAGGCCCCGACCTTTAAATTCAAGGACTATCTTAAACCTAATATACAGTTTTGTATGGAGGGCTCCACGAATGCTTGTGATTTAGGAAAAGCGAACTCGGGTACTAGATTTGATACAGCTGATTCCGAATTTATAATGCTAATTGCTCGAAATCAGGGACCACTACTTCGATCACAAAATGGATCAGGAAAACATAGCGTGGAAATGCATGTCTCCATCAATGCGGACTTTTTTCTTAATAAGCTTTTGTTGCACAAGTGTTTGATTAGGATTTATCATCTCTAATGGAGGCCATGGATCATCGGTAACTTCAACGACATCCTGATTTAATTAACAGATCATGTCTGGCTTATAGAAACAAGAAGCGTATGGACGAAAGCTTAGTACCTTTTCACCGAAATCGAAGGAAACAGCGTCACCATAAATATTTCAGTAAAGCCAATCGACAGCTGGTCAAGAGGAATCCGCCGTCTTCAGGTGGAACCGATCTTCGAATCTCTTCACCCAACACTCACTCGAAATACAAGTAAGCTCAAGAATTATGAAATAAGGGAGTCCTCGAAACCCAACTTTACTTCGCATATATTACGTACGTACGGTATGAATTCTTATCAACTTTATTCTGGCTATGCGAAATCCAAGAAATTTACATCCCGGCAAGTCAATACTATAAGCTTTTTGAAAATTTGTATTTCACATAATACAGTTCCTAGATGTATTCTTTGTAGACGTCCAGATTTACCTATTTCCATTAAAAGGAAACTGGAGCATGTATCAGGTGGTTTGGCTAAGACTAGACTTAAAGAAAGTATAGACAAATTACATGACCTGAATAGAACCAAAACAAGGACTAGACTATCCACTTCTCAGCTATTTTCTCAAGAAGACTTTATCAAATTGCAGAAAATGGAGGACGGTTTGGCGGATAGGATGGATAAGATCTATAGATCCCGACATGATAGGAAATTAAGGAATTTAGGCATCAACATCGGCCAAAGGAATCGTGGAAACATTTAGGAGGTAGTTAAACTTAGTACTATTGTTTCTAGAAAAATTAAGTAATTAATTTATCCAGTATATCTATAGATGATAATGTTATGCTCATCTAGAAAAGGTGTTTAAATTTTTTATTTCCAAATGAGTAAAATCATTCTATGGATATACTGGTTGAGTTCATTAACTTAACGTAGAAGCTGCCAGAAGAGGCTAAGAATAGTATTGAAAGAGAAGTGATTCCTCGTTTTGATGAAGTAATTGTTCCAAAGAAATCGTATGACTTGAATAAAGTTTCTAGATATTTGCACCAAAA